TATCTGTGCCTTGCATCCTTTCACAGTTCTGCCCCCCAAAGACCCCATGGCAATAGAAAGATCCAACCTCCTCAGCATGCTGAAGCTGAGCATCAAAGTGTTAATTCAGTCCTCCCTGAGTCTGGGCAGGACGCTTGACTCGGAGTACCCTCCTCTGCAGCAGTTCTTTGTCGTCCTGGAGCATTGCCTCAAACATGGGCTGAAAGGTGAGGGCTGACCTTTTTGTTACAGATGAAGTGAGTGATCCAATCTCATTCTCAAGTAGAAACTACTATTACTTTTTTTTTTTCAGCCAAGAAATCCTTCATAGGTCAGAACAAATCCATATGGGGGCCTCTGGAACTGGTTGAGAAGTTGTGCCCAGAGTCCATTAGCATTGCCATAAGTGCCAGAGACCTGCCCGGCATTAAGTATGCTCCAGTAAATCTACAATGGAAAGTATTCTTGACAACTGTTGTGATTATTGGGGTTTTAAATCTTTCATTTTATTCTCTTTTCAGGACCGGTGTGGGGAGAGCAAGGGCTTGGCTGCATTTAGCGCTCATGCAGAAGAAGGTTGCTGACTATATATGAAAGTTTTGCTGGACCGCAAAGATCTCCTGAGGTTAGTAACCATGACTAGTTACGTGGACTTAACATGGCATGTATTTTATACTAGGATGTTAACATGTTTGTGTGCGTAACAGCTCATGTCCCAATTTCGAAATGATTCTTCTTCTCTCCATGTCCCTCCTTCAACCCCCCTCCGTGTGTGTCTCCCTCTAGTGAGTTTTATGACTCAGGAGCATTGATGGTGGAGGAGGAGGGGGCGGTGATGGGGGGCTGCTGGTGGGCCTCAACATGATTGACGCTAACCTCTGTATTAAAGGGGAGGATCTTGATTCTCAGGTGAGTGCTGACAGGTTTAGTGGGCCTGCACATCCCAGGCGTACCTGGGTTTCTCCTTGAGAAACAAGTCGATCAGGATACATAGTGATGGGTTTCTCGTTTCGTGTAGGTGGGAGTCATTGACTTCTCCCTTTATCTTAAAGACCCTGCCACCAGTGAGACTCCAAAAGAGTGAGTGCCTGCTTTCAGATGGATTGAACAGCTCACTGACGCTGCTTTAACTTCTTATTTTTGCTAATCATTCATTTCCAATCAGATATGCACAGCCGGCTGTTTTATTCTCTCTCTTTTAGTGATGGCAAGATGACGGCCATATTAGATCAGAAGCACTACATTGAGGAGTTAAATCGTCATCTAAGCGGCACAGTCACTGACCTTCAGGCTAAGATGGACTCTCTAGAGAAGACCAACAACAAACTTGTGGAGGAGGTAACGTGTGTGAACTGTTGTGTGATTGTGCTTGTACTTTTGGGGGTGTGTGACACATTTTGCACCAATCAACTTGTTTAATGTCAACATGGTACCTGCGTGCACTAGATGTGTCTCGCCTGACTGATGAGCATGTGTTTTTCTTTTCCTCAGCTGACGGCAACAACAGACAGAATCAACTCTCTGCAGGAAGAACATGAACAGCTAAGAAAGGAGAATGAGTTGATCTTGCAGTCCAGCCAGAAAAAGGAAGAGGTCTGAAAGCATATACAAGTGGCAACAACTAAACCGCTCCTCATCTGAAACAAATACCCACGCTGTATGATGCGTTTGTTTTTCCAGGCAACCCTTCAGGACAGCCAGGTGGAGCTGGAGACATACAAACAGACTCGACAGGGCCTGGACGAGATGTACAGTGTGGTTTGGAAGCAGTATAAAGAGGAAAAGCGCATTCGCCAGGTCAGGTATCAGCAGGCTAAAGCACTAGAATAGAAGATGTTGTGCCTTGTGTTTGTTTTTCTGCACTAATTAGACTAGAACTGAATTTGACTCATGCCTTTTGTATGTTTGCAACGCATTATGTCAGGAGCTGGAGCGCGAGCTGGAGCTCCAGGTGGGCCTGAAGCAGGAGATCGAGGTGGCCATGAAGCTGCTGGAGAAGGACACACATGAGAAACAGGACACGCTGGCAGCCCTGCGGCTCCAGCTGGACCAAGTCAAGACTCTTAACCTGCAGATGTTTCACAAAGCACAGGTGGACACACTGCAAAAACGCTGCTTTCTCTTGCACGCCACACTTATACAAAACGCAAACTTATCCAGCCCATGTGACTTTTAAGGACTCTGAACGAGAGCGGAACGAAAGCAGGCGGAGGCTGTGCAGCTTGAGCAGAAGATGGATGAAATGGAGAAAGCCATGGTGGAACTAGAGCAGAGGTATGTATTGTGCATGCTTCTGTGCATTCAAATTATATTCCTTTAACTAATATCCTCCGTCTTGGTCGTTTGTGCGTCACAGGCTACAGAACTCAGAGCGTGAGCGCAAACAAAGCGACCAGTCAGACAAAGATCTGAGGGTGGAGCTGGAAGGAAAAGTGGATGCTTTGCAGAAACAACTGACTGACCTGGATACACAAAGGTTAAGACACACAAATACAATCTCTCGCCCTCTCTTATTATAACTGGGTGTGGTGGTGTGTGTGTGTGTGTATGGAGGGAGAGAGAGAGGGAAAATCTCTATATAGATATCGCTATCTGTATATCACACTGACGCTTTAATTACTTTACGCTTTAATTACTTGTTTAATGAAATGTATGGGGTTGATTGTTCTTATGTAGTTTGTGTGATGCTTGGCCAATATTGTTGTTATACATTATGCCAATAAAGCTAAATTGGATTGAAAGAAAGATAAATCAGTCATTTTAGTAACTTGCTGTACCGTCTTAAGAAGGTTTTCTCACCAGTGGTCTTTGTAGGGGGGAAAACTTCAAGGTGATTTCAAGGTGCACTAATGACCAGCAACAACTGCAAAGGGTATCAAAGATCAACTTTACACTAAAACAATATAAGTTTACAAAGATAATGAATGGGGGTCCAGCACTAATTCAGTATCAGGAGTTTGTCCAGGAAAGTTTAATGTTAATAGGATATAAGCTTAGCTTTTAATGTGAATCAATCTTACATACATTTAAAACCATGCAGGTATTATGGGACATCTTCACAAGTTGTCACCGTCCATTATATCTCTTCATAATCAAGTCAAAAAAACCTGACATTCATGTAAATTGAGTCCCTCATCTGTTATTAATAGCAGTTATTTTGAATAATATTTTCAACGTGTAGTCCGACACACATAGTCTTAAATTAGCGATAAGAATCCGATGTCTCTTCTTTGTTCTCAGGTTGGGTTTGGAAAATGAGCTGCGCACTGAGAGGGAACAGAGACAAAGTCTGCAAAAAGCTCTCCAGCGGGAACAGGACAACAGCATCGAGCTCCGCACACAGCTGCAACAACTCCAGGGCCTGCACACGGTCAGTGACAACACAACTCTGGAAGTGGATTCTTCTTTGAAATAATGAAAAACTGTTTACCTGTAGCAGCTACAGGGATTGTCTAGGTTTCTAGATTCCCTATGCAGATGTGAATTTACATATGTATAGCTACCAGACACAGCCCCAAAATAACTATAGCAAAAAATAGCTATAGAAGTGCTTTGTCATAGCTGCGCATTTTAATTTTGAGGTTCATTCTCAAAGGATAAGATGCTGCAATTTAAGAGGGGTTCCTGTTTGAATGTTTACACATAATATATCCATATTTGCGATTCAATTGGTGAAACCTCAGCAAACATTGTTCGTCCCATTTAGGTTTTTATAAGGTGGTGTTAACCCTTAATAATGCTGCTCGTTTCCTGTGAATGGTGTGATGGTGCAGGAGCTGCAGGATTTGAAGCAGGAGAAGCAGCAGCTGCAGCAGAGTGTGAGCAGCAGGAGCAGGCTCTACAGGAATGGGACTACATCTCAGCCAGTCTACTACTGATTTTGTCTTTTTTTATTTTTTTAAAATAGTTGTTAATGTATACCATTTCATCCATGAAGCTTTTGGTTTCTTTCATCTTTGTCAAAGGTCTAAACTTAAGATGGAGGACTTTAAGGAGTCAACAAAGCTTGAAGGTAAATCTGAAGA